TCTGAAGAATTTGCTAGTTGAAATATATTTATATAATACACAAATATATTTGTATAACATTAATCTGCTTTTTAATAAACCAAGCAACTGAACTTGGGAAAAAAGCAGCTTTGATATTTTGATAACTTCTTTTTTTGCTTTTTTGAACCTTTAGAGTGTTTAAGTTTAAATATTAAATTTAAATATATAAATATATTTGTATAGTTGCTTGGTTTATTAAAAAGACCATTTGTAAACTTTTTTTTTAAATAAGCCAAGCAACTGAACTTTAAAAAAAGAAAAGAACAGCTTTGACATTTATTAAATGAAAACTCTTTTTTGCTTTTTGAACTTCATAACATTCACATAATATTCACAAATATTGTAATTATTTTGTACAGGGGAAAAGTTGTGGCCTAATGGTTGGAGAGTCGGACTCGTAACCCAAAAGTTGTGGGTTCGAGTCTCGTACTGGCAGGGATTGTAGGTGGGGGGAGTGAATGTACAGCGCTCTCTCCCACCTTCAATACCACGACTAGCGCTCTCTTCCACCTTCAATACCACGACTGAGGTGCCCTTGAGCAAGGCACTGAACCCCCAACTGCTCCCCGGGCGCTGCAGCAAAAATGGCTGCCCACTGCTTCGGGTGTGTGTTCACTGCTGTGTGTGTGCACTTTGGATGGGATGGGAAATTTTAAGTCCCTTACTCTAACAATGTAACAGGCAGATAAAAGTACACAATATCTTATTTAAAAATATATATATAAATGTTTGTGGTTTAAGTCCTTACAATTTACCTGCTTTCAGTTTATATTGTTTGTTTCAGTGTCTATGCAAACATGAATTTCTACATGTGCTATAGAGGCACATTAAATGTACAAATACCTACAATCACCAATGAGATTTCTGCTTTAGTGTTCCATTCAAAAACGTTTCTACCTACAATAATCATGAAGTTTTAAAATCTCACTTGATACGAAAATCTAAGGGTGGCACATGCATGACGCTTTGCCATCACAGACGTGTGAGTGACGTACGTGTGGTATCAAGAAAGAATTGTATAAAGTATTTTCCCCACAGACACTCTACTTTCAGATGCTGCATGCATTAACGGATCCAGTGTCTGGTCGAGTCGACATGCCTTTTTTCTTCCCCCTCACGCTCTCCATATTCTCTCCCTTCATAGTGACACATTGATCAGACATAATGGGGTGGAGGAGTTGTGGTCACTGGGGTCAGTGCCGTGGCTAGACTCCCTCACCCCTACGCATGACCCCCTCCCCTCTCCCAACATGTCCCCAAGCTCCCCCTTTCCAGACTGACCACGGATCGGCCTCAGCCACCGAATCCATCTGACATTGGCAGCTGAGGATGGATAGAGTGACAGTCAATAGTCAATACAGGACAGGTTGTGGAGGGTGGGGGAGGATCCATGTCGGACGAAGGATGAACGAGGAGGGAGACTGTTGCAGTACAAGGGGCAGTTCACCTAAAAATAACAATTCTGCCATCATTTAATCACTTACTTCCTTCTGTGGAACAGAAAAGAAGATATTCTGAAAAATGTATCAAAAATAGTTCAATCAATGAACTTCATTACATTAAGGAACATTTTTCCACACAATTAATTTAGATTTGTACAACAAGACTAAAACAAGTTAATTAATACAAACAATGTTTTGTTGTACCAAATTAATACATTCATGTTGCCGTGTTAGATAATAAGTAGCAAAAGCATGTTAGCTATATTAGATGAGCAAGTAATAATCTCATTACTGCTGGAATATAGTACTTAGACGTCACAGCTACGTCACTTGCAGCTGCGCGCACATTGTGGTGGCAGAAAAACACTGGGATCAAGTGGAGGGAAACGGGTAAAATCCATGGAATAGGAGAAGAAATATATTGTTGTGCTTTTGGATGTCAGAATCAGAATGGAAATCATTTTTATATAATACTGTTGTCAAAGACGCCATTTGAAGCGGAACGCAGACGTTTAAACGGACAGACTATGGATGAAACCTGCGATGATTACCCTACTTTTAAAGCATACATTTGATTTAAACAATAGGTCTATATAATATTCACATAGGGGACATATTGTATTAGCCCTACAGTTAAAGCATGAAATATTATTTAAACCTATAACATTTTACATAACACTTAACTATTTTATATCACAATTCTGACTTTTTTTTTTCTTGCAAGTGCAAGTTTATATCTCCTAGTTCGGACTTTATAACTTGATTCAACTCAACAATTGTGAGTTTGTCAATTCTGAGGAAAAAAAGTCAGAAGTGTGGGACATAAAGTCATGATTCTGAGCTGAGGGGAAAAGAGAGAATGGCGAGTTGATTTTTCTTATCAGAAGTGTGAGATATTGTTAGAAATCATTAACAACGGTCCCTCTAGATTCTCTTTGCCACCTCAGATATTCTCAATCCCTCAAAGTGGATATAACGGCCGGGAAGTAAGAAAACACACATTCATATGTATTCTCAATACTTCAACTTTATTCATAGATACAAAGATATTATATAGGCATATGTCGAGGGGAGTTTCAACCCTTTAACCAATGAGGATATAGATGACATACATATAGGATCTTTGGCCAAGAACATGTGTTTATATAAAATGGCCATATGAACAGAAAAACATGGACATATTAGGAATAGACTTTTGCGAAGGATGCTAAACTATCTTCATGGTTTCATCACGAACCTCATTCCTAGCTATCATGTCCTTATTTAGACATTTGAATAAGAAAAGCTAATGTATACATTTGCGCATGCATAGCTCGAATGTGAGTAAGAGACATTAAAACACCATACAAGAGAGAGAGAACAGATAGAGGAGGGAGAGTGAGAGGGAGAGGGAAAGAAAGGAGGGGGAATAAGAGAGAGGGGAAAAAAAGGAGGGGTGAGGCATTCTCAAGACAGAGAGTGTTTTCTAACAGATATAATCTCGGAATTGCAAGAAAAAAGTCAGAATTTTGAAATACAAACTCAAAATTACCTTTTTTATTCTTTTATTCCATGGCTTGCTACGTTAAAACTGGCATTTTCTGCCACCAGATAGACTCCGCCCACAAAAAACGTCATCACTGTTTGCAAACACTGAAATTGGTCTATTGTATATAGTTATTGCTCATTGTGTAAACTCAAAACCAACAGAAACTCTTCTAAATCTCCATCAAAACTGAGCATTAAAAACGACCAAGTCTTCCTCTTTACTGAAAACATAAAATTAGACTTCACTTTCAAAATTTTCTCTTAATGCAGTCCCATGCAAAGCATACTGGGATCTACAGATCTACTGCCCAGTTAATTATGTCAACAAAAATGATTGATGTAGTCCAAACAATAAACGATTCAGTAAAGTTACATATTTACAAAATGTTCAAGTTTATTGCTTCAGCTCATTTTAACAAAGTAACTTAAACAAGCAGCAATAACTAAATAAATATTAAAATAAAAAAATATATATATTTTTTAATGTAATTCCAATAGGGTCCAGAGCTGTTTTAGACATTGTATGACCAAAAACATTCTTCAGAATATCTCCTTTTTGTTTCTTTAAAACAAAGCAAGTCATACAGGTTTAGAACAACATGAGAGTGAGTAAATGCTGACAGATGTTTCATTTTTGCTTGAGCTATCCCTTAAAGACTGTATTTCAGTTTCATGGGGTTATGGGAAGAAGGTTGTTTGGGACGATGGAGACCCAAGGATCTATGAAATATACAGGCGAAACAAAGCCAGTTTTCCAGTTTTCCATCTCCCTCATCATTTAGCCAAGTAAAAAGCAAACAAGACAGCAGCGACACTACCTGAAAAACATGGTGGGCTTCCACTCCATTGCTTCCTACTGCCTAGTTATCTCAGGTCAGTGAGCTTGAAGGCAATGCGACAGGCCAGGGACAGCACTTTAAAAGCACTGGGACACAGCGGTGGTGTGTCTGAGCTGAGAGTGTCTTGCAGAGAGCGCTACACTGTTAGAAAAGCCCCTCCATTTTAGCAAGTCCCTGCGGACACCCTGATGGACAGACGGAGTGCTTCAGTACATTATGAGGTTCGAGGCACATCAGATACCGCTGCCCGAGGCTAAAGCAACATCCTCCTAACGGCTGAAAATCTTTAGTGATTGGATAACAGTGGTGTGATAATGCTAATTGACCATTTGAATATACAACAGTAAGAGTCGTTTATAACAGCGGAGAAGTTAAAAGGGGATCATTAGGATTCCAGATGGTTCAGCCTTCGCCTGAAGCAAGCCATAGGTCTTCTCTCATTAATACACGTCTCGAGTGACATGCAATATTTCAGAAAAAAAAAGAGCAGAATGCGAATCAATACCAACCATCTTAGAAAGGACGGCATGGGGGAGCGAGCTAAAGACTAATGGAGGAAGACAAGCCAGAGAGTGAAAGAGTAAAGAGATTAATGTAAAAGAGGATTTCCCCTGAAACTGCCGCTGTTACAAACGTCTTCGAATGGCCTCCTGCACTTTCATTAGCGCATCTTAAGTGCTTTTCATCATTAAGTGCGTACTTTCCTTTACTTTCATTATTTGGCCTTTTACTGAGAACATGATCTGGTCTAGCTTGACACGAACGGGTCAGCATGGCATTCGCATGCTTTATTGCAGAAGAACCGCACAATGAGAATGAACTATCCTCTCCAGGAGCTGAGATACCAATCAGAAAAAAAAAGAGCAGAATGCGAATCAATACCAACCATCTTAGAAAGGACGGCATGGGGGAGCGAGGCACACAAACCATGTCCTTTTCAAATTAGCCTGAAGGACGTGATTAGCTGGATCAACTGTGTTTAATTAGGGTTGGAGCTAAACCCTGCAGGGCTGTGGCCCTCCAGGAATTGAGTTTGACACCCCTGTTTTAAACAGAAGAGGTTTGTAAAAAACACTTATTCTTTGTGCTTTCCTAAAGCTCATTTCCTAAAGCATGTAGCTTGCAACGCGAAGGTCATAGGTTCGATTCCCAGCAAAATTTCCATGCATGAACTGACAAAAATGTATGCTGTCAACTCAGTGTAAATTTCTTAAGACAAAAGTACTTTTAGCCTTTATCTCACATCTTGGTAAATTGAAACTAATTACAAATATTTTAATGGGAGATCCTGGTTGCTTGGTCATTTACCTACTTGGAACTACCACATTTAAATTAAAGCATCAACAACTCTAGTGCCCTAGTAATTGCATGCACTGTTATCTTTATTATTGTAGGTGCTGGACAGGATAAAGGGCTCAGTCATGCCTTTGCCAGGACGGAATTTCGTCAAACACCACATTCGAAATAACCCTGATCTCTATGGTAATGTAGATATTATTTTTAATCTCGCAGAGCACCTCTTAACACATTCTTTATATTTGAATGAATCTGGATTATCACAAAACTGTCAGACATTTTAGTTTTTGTTATCCTTCCTCTTGTCAGGTCCTTTCTGGATCTGTGTGACTCTAGTGTTCTCAGTGGCCATCAGTGGAGACCTCTACACATTTCTGAGTAATATGGGAGACCCAGGGTTTCACTACAGACCTCAATTCAACAAAGGTGAGACCGCAGTAGGCATGGAAATTTGTGGAGAATGATTCTTTTAGAAACTTAAGAGTAATTGGAGCTAATAATATACTTCACAAATACAAAAGAACACAACTTTTCGGTTATATATATTTATTTTAGTCATAAATTTTTCGTATAAATATTATATGAACAACCAATCAGATTTGAGGTTCAGTGAATCTAAAGGTCAACCACTGATTTAAACCCACAACTCATAGATTCAAGATTTGAGTCTTTTATTAATTAAAAGAACATGTTTATGCCAGTCCCTTATGAATATGCTTAATGAAGGTTTTGTTCCGTTTTAGTCTCGATCGCAGCCGTCACGGTGTTCCTCTATGCATGGCTGGTGCCTCTAGGAGTTTGGGGCTTCCTAACGTGGCGTCAAAGTGTTGAGAGACACATCAGCGGTTACACGTTTTTAGAGACTGTGTGTGTCTATGGCTATTCTCTGTTCATTTATATCCCTGCCTCGGTAAGTTTGAGATGATGTTCAAGACGGTCAGACTTCATGAAGTTAGACCTGATAAGTCATACTCGGTGTCTGTTTTCAGATATTATTAACCATTCCTGTCTACTGGCTCGAGTGGCTATTGATTGTCATTGCCATGGTGATCTCGGGCTCAGTGTTGGTAATGACGTTCTGGCCGGCTGTTCGCGATGACACGAGACTAACAGCATTCGCTACCATGGCAGTAATAGTGTCACTTCATGCCCTTCTGGCTGTTGGCTTTAAGGTGAGAGAAACTCTTCAAAGGACTATTCCAAATCAAATACACTTTAAACGCTATCTGCTATGCTGTTAATAACCACAGAAAATCATTTTGACTCCTCTTTGAGCTATGAAACTCTTTTTAGGAGCAATTATTGGCTATGTGTTACCATAATTCCTGTAATCTTTCTGTGAATTCAAAGCACAAGTAGTAGGGTTGTGCAGTTAATTGCATCTGGTCAGTAAAGCCGGTTCCGTGATTAGTAGTAAATCTCCATCACCTGCTTTCAGATGGAGCGGCATTAACTACACAGAGCAGTAGTTCACTGACAATCACCGAATCACCTGCGATAATGAACGCGATATCGCTTGTAATAATGCCAATTTCCATTAATGCCGCTCCATCTGAAAGCAGGTGATGGAGATTTACTACTAATCACGGAACCGGCTTTACTGACCAGATGCAATTAATTGCACAACCCTAACAAGTAGCTTTGGTTCCTTTTATAGCTGGTTATGGCATGTTGAGAGATTGGATATTACTTTGCACAGACACAGCTGACAAGTGTTCATTTTCACACCAGTCTTATGCTAACACATTTAATTGTAACCAGTTTGATATTACAGCAAATAAACGTTTCAAGATATTTTATTTTACAAGCCAGAGGATGAGTCCATATTAAATTATGTGGTAATTGACAACAACAGATAGTGCCTAAAGTGATTTATAAAGTTACATGCACTACCGTTGAAAAGTTTGGGGTCAGTGTGTGCGCATGCGAGCGCGTATTTATGATTTCTTTAGGATCATGTGACACTGAAGACTGGACAAATGATGCTTAAAATTCAGCTTTGTCATCACAGGAATAAATTACATTTTAAAATATTTAGTAATAGAAAACAGGAATTTTAAATTGTAATAATATTTCACAAATACTGTTTTTACGGTATTTATATAAATAATACTGACCCCAAATATTTGAACGATAGTGTATCCTGTACGAAGGACTGAAATAAATAACATAAGCACCTCCGCTTCCAGCTGCACATGCAGTTTGATTGGCCATTTCTTCTGGTAAAATGACACCATCCATTAAAACACACTCAGCTTTACTATTTAATAAATTTCCATCTCTCTTTTAGCTCTACTTCTTCAAAACGCCAACAAACACAGGATCATCGCACTCCGGACAACAGACTACCCCAGCTGCAAATCACACAACACTTGCTGTGGGAAAGCATCAATGACCAACTGAATGGGAACCTAGGAGACTTTATATTCAAAGGACATGACAAATGTGTTGTAATTATGATAACTGAGCAATGAAGGAGTTCAGATTAGTGTGCTGATGCTTGATGCACACAAGCATTCCCAGCAAACACATTGAAAGTGTTTCCAGTTTGTAACCCAGCAGATAAAATAATCTCCCTCAGATCACAAGTAAAATCACAGCGACTTACTGATGACTTTAGTTTGTAATATTTTTCTCTAATACGTAAAGTGACCAGCCTGATAAATATTTTGTTATGTGTTATGGTCACTTATTTTTTTGTTTCCTTCAATCAAACTAGAGTAATTTATAAGAGTGATCTTGTATTACAGTGAACTGAGTTGAGGTTTGCCTTATAACCCCTGACTGCTTTCTTTCCTTGTAGGCTACTTTCTCTTATTATTCTGTAAGTTGAGAGGAAGTACCTGTATGAAGTATTTAATGTTGCTTTCCTGGACAGTTTTCTGCTTGACACTGTGGATTAAAATCATTCTTGTCAGGGTCAAACTTGTCTTTTTGAGCTTGTTTGGTATGAATGTGGACAGATGCATCACCACTCCTACTTGGGCCACACATTTCTAAGAAGGTATGCGTTGCACTTATTTAATATAAAAGTCATAATCTTTTAGGGATAGTTCAACCAAAAATTAAACTTTTGTCATCATTCACTCATGCCATTCCAGACCTGTGTAACTTTGTTCTGTGGAACATAAAATCTGTTATTCTGAATAGTGTTGGGGTAGCCAAACTATTTTGGTGGCCAGTGACTTCCACTGTATGGACAGAAACACTTTCTGAAAATATATTTTACGTTTCACAAAAGAAACTACTATGCTTTTAAAATGATATGAGGGTGAGTAAATTTATTTTTGGTTGAACTATCTTTTTCAAAAATCATTCAAAAATTCTCACATTCTCAACCCTCATGTTACACCTATATGACTTTTATTCTTCCACCAATCCCATTCAATCTGTGCTTTTTCATAACTAAAAACTGGACAGTGACGATGAACAAGTACATAACAGGACCTCAAAATGAGTCCCTATGACTAAAAGAAGTATTCTGAAACAATACAACGGCTTGTATTAGAAAAAGACAAAAGTAATTGTTGAAATTGTGCACTGGCCACTTTAATTATATGGAAAAGAGCAGCTTAGGTGGCAAAAGTTCTTTTTGTTTCATGAAAGATAAAAGTCATATGGGTGTCAAACAACATGAAATATTACAGAATTTTCTGTAACACTTTACAATAATGTTAATATTTTTGCAGCTTTTATCTTGGTTAAATGTTCATTTCTCATTCATTTCAAGTTGTATTTTAAACACAATTAATAAAAGTATATTCATAATCTGACATTAACCATAATAAATGCTGTAAAAATAAATTTTCATGATACTAAAATGCATAAAAACAAATGGAACGCCAATGTAAAGTGTAGCTGTATTTTCTTTCCTTCTCTGTTTAAAGGAATAGTTCACCCAAAAATAAAAATTTTATCATTGTTTACTCAGCCTCATGTCGTTCCAAACCTGTGTGAGATTCTTTCTTATGTTGAACATGAAAGAAGATATTTTGAAGAATTCTGAAGAACCAAACAGTTGTTGGTCCCCACTGGCTTCCATAGTAGGGAAATAAATACTATGGAAGTCAATGGGGACCATCAACTGTTTGATTACCAGCATTCTTCAAAATATCTTCTTTCATGTTCAACATAAGAAAGAATCTCACACAGGTTTGGAATGACATGAGGCTGAGTAAACGATGACTTTTTGGGTAAACTATCCCTTTAAGACACATCCGCTTTGCCATCTATAACCCATCCAGGGGTGCATTTCCAAAAAGCAAAAACGCACCCCAGATCATATGACTTCTCAAACCACCAAGTTTGATTTTATAACCCCGCCCGTGTCATCCATGAACAACAAAACAAATGCTACTATAAGCCGCCACACTTAGGGACTTCTCCATCAACATTTAATTTGCTCCTTTTTTTTTTGTCTGTTGCTTTTTTTTTTGGAAAGAAAACAAAAAGTTAATTCTACAAACTAGCAGATAAGGTTCTTTTCATCTCATGATCTCATGAAAGTTGCTAAATCAAACTGAATTAACTGGAAAAAAAAAGTGACTGGAAGCGGTGCATACGACTTCAAAGTCTTGGATGAGGCTATCATCATATCATATCCCCGCTGTGGGAGAGGGAGGAGAGAGAGAGGGGAGGAAAATTATAGCTAGTCAGGCATCACTTGATCTCCTCCTTTCCTCAACAGGTCTCACAACACACAGAAGTCGACAAGATAAGGGTTCGGGGGATGTAAACTAGGATACTGCAATTCCTGCTGCAGCGGTCAGTGTGTGTCCACGGACCTCACTGTTTATGTCGTTCATCCATCGGTCTTCCTCCCCCCAGAGCCGACTGTCCTTCCCAGCACTCCGCCGTCCTCCTTGTCTGATAATGGAGGGTTTTGGTGCTGGTATTCCTATTCCTAAAACCTTTGTGTCCTTATAATTGACTAACAATGAATCCTCCAATTTACAAGTCAGATTTGCGTCGATATGGAGTCGGAGGTCGACAGAAGCAGTCTCGATAATCCATGCTCAGGATTCACCTCAGGGAACACCAAGCGACACATAAATCTGGGACTGCACTACATTAAAACACAGTCAGAAATGGAATGAAAGTAAGACTATCTCTATCTACACTATGGTTGTCTACAGGCAGGATCCAGCAGTACTGCGCTAGTAGTCGTAATGAACTTTGTGAGCATGTGTCCGTTTCTTCTGGTGAGTGCGAACGTCTTGGTGAGTCGAGATGGCCGTCAGAAGCCCATGCTGAGAGAATCGAGATGCGATAGCCAGTCGATTTCACTGGAAACGTAAAAAAGCTGAAGGTGAAGTGTAGGTTCAACGGAGCCGGAGCTGTTAGGAACAGTGGCAAGATCCAGCAATAGATCTCGAATTCATATCAATAGTCAATGATGGCGAGATGCCATGGAGATAGCCGGGCCGCCCATGGTGAACTGGTTGGTGACGGGGTAATACGGACTGCTGCTGCTAGGACCCTGCTGGGCAGTTGTGGCCCCTGAGAGGAGAGAAAAAGCAACATTACATCCTTTGTATTTATGAGCGTGTGATTTCTAAGATGTTCAAAGTATGCTTCGTTTTTTATGTGTAAGCTGTGTTACTCGTGTAGTGTGTGCGACACATTTTTGGTACTAGTTTGTTTTCAAAGTGGAAACTTCCTAGTGTGCGTGTGTTGAGTGCCTGTGTTTACATACAATCAAAGGGAGTATATTTTGAAAGGCTGTATGTGTATGTTAAGTGTTCGTGTGACCACTAAAGTATACAATCACCATTGGGGGATGTTCAAAACTACTGTTTATTAAGTAGTCAACAAATCAGTACAGTAGTCAAAGAATATGTATAATTATCCTAGTTTCAGGTTCATTTCAACCTGATGCTTTAAAAACTAACTGGAGAGACTAGAAGAGAACGAAAGTTTTTTTTTATGCAACACGCCATCTAGAAAATACAACACCCATGGTTTGAGACCAAGTACAATGAGACTATTCACACGGTAGCAGCTATCAATCTGCAGGCACTCAGCACACTGTAAAGGCTTATTCATATCACAGCAAGGACAAATGTTCAGTGCAATATTAAATAATGGACACCTTCAAACTTAAAAACACTCTTTTACTGATATATCATCAGTTTACTGGGTCTACTCAGTATGGACAGAGAAAAGAAAATAGGAAATTCTGTCATCATTTTCACCAGCTATTCTAAAACCCATAGATCTCGTTCATCTTCAGAACACAAATGAATATTTTTTTTTTAAATATTCTCTCATCATCACAGAAACTCAAGTCAGACTTGCTTGACACATGAGAACCAAATAGGTTTGTTCTTGCACATCAAGCAAGCACAATTTGAGCTTCTGTTTAATGTGCGCTGATTAGTATTTATAGATGAATAAAAGCTTTTACAAAAAGTTTATTTATGTCCATGTAATTTTGGTAACACTTCAGTATAGGGATCAATTCTCACTATTAACTAGATAATTATTAGCATGCCTAATATTAACACATTGGCTGTTTATTAGCATTTATAAAGCACATATTCTGCATGACCATATTCTATATCCTAATACCTAAACTTAACAACTACCTTACTAACTATTAATAAGCAGCAAATTAGGAGTTTATTGATGAAAAAGTCATAGTTAATAGTTTGCTAATAGCAAGAATCGGACCTTAAAATAAAGTGTGACTAATTTTTTATGCATGAAAGTTTTGGAAAGTGTGGAATTTCAATGTCTGGATGAAATTGATGAGAGAATATGAAAAATATCTTCATTTGTGTTCTGAAGATAAACAAAAGTCGTATTTTCCCATTTGATACAACATGAGGGTGAGCAAATAATTACAGAATTAAAATTTTTGGGAGAAATATCGATTTATCTGTAGGAGCTCAGGTCCAAAGCCACTCACCCTGGACAATTCCGGTGCTCATTATAGAACCCATTCTGGAGTGAGTGTGATTCACAATCCCCGTGTTCACTGGAGGGGAAAAAAAGACATCTCTTTTCAATTTACACAAGAACAAAATGTGATATACATGAAACACATGAATATTTGACATGAAGCTAAAGGAGAAAGGCTGTGATATAGATAATCTTAAACTGTAGTACTGTTGTATAGAAAACCTCTCAATAACAATTATTAATTGTACTATAAAGAGTATTAAAATAAGTATGGTTAATGCTTATTATAGGGGTCATATCATACACTCTATTTTTCCCTGAGGTACAATAATAAAGTGATGTTTTTTGCAGCAAGTAGTCATTGTTTTGACTATTTGGACTGGGGACTGGTGTTTTCATAACATTAATCTCTTATCTCAAGTGATCAAGTTAAAGATTTGATCCTTCATGATATGGCCTTTAAATATAATACACTTTTTTTTTTTTATTAATCTCAGCCTTTTGTTCTTAAAGTGATAGTTCACCCCCCAAAAAAAATTCATTCAAAAGTCATTAACTCACTCATGTAATTCAAAATCTGTATGTTTTCTATTCATCAGAACACAAATTAAAATATGAATATTCTCACATCATTTTTGTCCATCCATTGAAGCATCAAGGTTTTGGTGGTGTGGAAGTACACAAACACTGATCATCACATACATAAAGCTCAAATATGGTAAACACTGAAGCTCAAATAAACATGCTTGCTTGACATGTGTAAGCTAATGAGGTTAGAGCTTTTGGATTACTTAATGTCTTTTCATACCTTACTGCTGTGTAAACTTTCAATGGATGAACAAAAAAGATAAATAATTATATATATAAAAAAAAATCGTCATTTGTGTTTCAAAGATGAACTAAAGTCTTGTGGATTTGGAAAGACATGAGGGTGAGGAACCATTTTTGGGTGAAAAAAAATTACTTTAAAAACACCACAGAGCTAATTTCACTCCTCATATGTGTGTATTTGTGAGCGTGTG